CGCCGTGTTCTGTCTCCTGCCGTGTTCTAGTCCTGATATTTACGCATGATAGGATCATATCCCGCCGGAAACAGAAAACGGTCGTCTCTTCGGGGCCAAAAGGCGGCAGCCAGCGTGTCAAACAGCGAGGGAAGCGCGATTAAATGAGGCTCTACAAGGCTGTGTGATAGCCTCGTCAGGTCGGTCAGTGCCAATGGGTTAGCTCCTTCGGAATCTTGCGCCGGTGACACAAGTACACCGGTGGTCAGTGGTGAGATAGACGCTACAGGCCCAATGCAATCAGTCTTGATCCTGCTCTTGCCCAATGAACACCGAAGAAGCAGACATGTAGATGCGAATGTCAGGGAAGGCTGAGAAACGTTGTGCGGGGTGTTATCATGGGTCATGCAAGTCGATGCACGTTGGCTACTAGTGAGTAAGCAGCCTTTGCTTGGCTTGTTGTTGCTGAGAAAAGCAAAACTTATCACTCAAAGCTGATAGTTTTCCGGTCGCCAGATGGGAAAAGCATTGTGGTATCGTGAAGAACTCAATTCGGTTTGTGACGAGAGACGTTCGTGGTGTTGCGCCGATCTGTTGCTTTGTATGACGTCGGCAACTGCCGGGGTCCAGCCGATTGGGCGAAAGACACGCTACGCGTCGCTGTCGTTCATCGAAGAGGTCATTGAGATGGAGCTACACCAGACACGAAATTGCAGGCGGTGGTTGTGATAACATGTTGCTCTGTCTGCCAATTTGTAGATGATGATGACGTTCCTTATATGCTAACCGGTTGTGAGTAAATTAGCGCCCCAACCACGTGCAATCCTGGCTGCGCGGCGTCACGGTTGCTGCTGTGCAACACCCGGGAAACGTCAGGCCTTCTCGAGGGCTTCGTCGACCACGCGTGCGACCACCGCCATAAGACTACGACCATATTACTCTATCCCTCTTCTTTTAGTCGCGCACGAGTCCGCTACGATCCCACGCGATGGCGCCCCCAGCAGTCATCGGCTCGCAGAAGCCTGGCGCGACCGATACCACAGCCATGGAACAGAAGATCGGCCAGGCCACCTCTGTTGTCCTACCCCTTCTAGAACTTGGCGCGCTGGGCTATGAGACATATGTTGTTGTCTATTTGATATGCGTCCAGTATCTCATAGATCCCTCGGAAGACATCCAGCGAGATTTCGATATCCGGCCCCGGCGCTCCACGGGAATCGCACTCATCGTCGTATACGCCATCCTCCTTCTGTTCCTCATAATAGCATGGGCGCGCCTACTACAATTGATCTGGTCAAAACCGGATCTTATACCCCTCGGCGACCCGTCGCTAGAGAAGACGGATGCGAACACGAAGGGCTTTGGGTTCGATCAATACGACGCGTACATCTGCGATTATCAGGGACTGCCGTTGTGGTGTGAGAAATGTCACAACTGGAAGCCGGACAGGGCACATCACTGCAAGGAACTGGGACGATGTGTGAAGAAAATGGATCATTATTGTCCTTGGGCGGGTGGAATCATAGCAGAAACTACGCACAAGTTCTTTATGCAGTTCGTGGCGTATGCTTCGCTGTACACAACATTCACTTGGATCGTGGTAGCTATCTTCTTTGCAGAGAGGAATTCTAAGGTACGTGGAGAGGCAGGATGGTGTATGTATAGCAGGCTAACATATGACAGATGGGGTCACGGCCAGGAACCTGGATCGGCGCCCTTGCGACGGCGGTTTTGTTTAGCATCTTTACTTTCACAATGACCTGTATGACAGGCTGGAATCTGATGATAAACTTCACCTCGGTCGAAGGCATCCAACGCGGTGGCATCCACAACATTGCCTTTCTCATGTCTCGTTCCTCCACAAATCCCGATACATCTCATTCCTCAGCGAGCCCCAACACCACAAATGCACTGCCTGCGACCCCAACAACATCCTCCAGTAAACACCACAATAAGAAATCTAGCAGAGACTTGGCTGAAGAAAGAGAGCACGAGAAGGAGGATTGGCCCATCCTTACCAGCTTTACACGCCCATCGAACCGCTCGTACGTCGTAATACAAACCAAACCCATGGAACACCCGTGGTATACAACCCTCATGCAAGGTTGGAAAGATACTATGGGCGAAAACATAATCGACTGGCTACTGCCCTTCCGACAGTCTCCGTGTAAACAGAGAAGCCACAGGGGTGAGTTTGAGTGGGGCGAGGTGGTCTACGATATGGCGAAGATGTACGAAGACAAATATCCTGGAACCAGTCTTGCCATCCTTGATAAGAGCGGGAGGTCGAGGAGGTGACGTTGATGAGCGGTAAATGCCAGCGTTGTTTTTTCCCGTTAAGCGACTTGGGCGTTCTTCGTACATTTTTTCTTTTAGGATTTGATACCCACGTATGTTGTTGGTCGCAAACTGTACATAGTAATTCGATGGAAGGAATGGAATAGATATCTGCATCATCGCTGCATGCTCTACTGAGGGAGGACGACTCCAGTCTTGCTAGATGTTCTCACTGTTACCGCCACTCGATTCGGGTTCCGCATGGATGCTGAACGTCATAGGTCTACGGATTACTCGAGACATTTTCTTCATTTACTAATAACAAACAGCCCTGACGTTACTCTCGCGTCGTACAAAGATCACTTGCACAAGCGCGTCTCCACGTCTGCACGTGGCCAAGCTCTAGAGTCAACCCCTCTTGCGTATTCAGCCAACCAAACGTACCTCTCCCATGATAGGCCCGTAAAGAATTTGGTACACGACCGCACCACCACTCAGCCGATCCTCGCATGTATCATGCAAGCACAAGTCCGATGCGGGTAATCGAAGTTCGTGACCCAAACCAAACTCCAGGCCACTTGCCCGACATCGCTAAGTACTTCATGGTACTTGTTTGCTACTGTATCTGGTACCTTAGAGGGTGTGCTGCTGGAGCCATGAATTTACCGTGGCCCCTTTGATGCGGATATGGACGTGGATGTGTAGATACTGTTAATATATTCTAGACTTCCAACGGTACTTTCCTGAACGGGTAGGAAAATGTTTGTTTCAACGCGGGGACGTGGGCTGATCTGCTTGGTGTTGCGTAAGTTCAGATGGGTAAGATCATGATTCTGTACGAGCCTAGCATAATTTACCATGGTATGGCTCGGGGAATGACCGGAGCATCAGTGTTGCCGGAGTCAGGTAGAGATGATCATCATCTTGTTCGTCACAGTCAACCCCGGAAAACTATCCTGGGCGTCAAAGTAGGATCTGCGCGAGGATGTGGTGATCGCCGTCTATCTTCTTCTAGTCTGAGACCGCATTCATCCATCGAACATCGTCTGCAAAGCGAGATTCTTACACGCCTTTAGCCGTTGAAACATTGACAGCTTTCGTGCCTATCTTGGAGCTGTGCGCTGTCTGCAAGGCTGCCGCTTTCCGGATAACCGTTGATCGTCATTTCGTTCAGGGACGTTTCATGCTACCATGGTACTATTAATGGAGAAAGTCTCCCGCAGGGTATGCGTCTGGAAAGGCGAGAGCATGGGCCGGGACCTTCCGGGTTCGATCATGTACGTGCGTTAGGCCGCCCGGTCCATAATGAGAGGTTTACAAGTTGGGTAGTTCACGCGAGAAGCTGCAAGGGTCAAGAGTCAGCTGGGTTCCTAACTATTTTTTTACTCGCCCAGGACGTGTGAACGTTAGTCTCAGCGAAATGCGCAACAGGTGCTCTTGTGTCACACCTTCCAACGTCCATCAAGGGCGACAGGTGTAATCCCTTACAGGCCGGGCCGCTCCATGGCATCCTTGCTGGGAATGAGTTTAGAACATGGTCCTTGGTTTTCGGGAGAGTTAGTGTGGCGAGTTCCGCAGGCGAACCCTGGCTCTGATCCCCCAATGATGTGCAGTGTTTCCCGTCAAGCTGTGAGGGGTCAATCCTAGAAGAAGATCGTAGCAAGGGTCTAATGCAACTTCTGACCGGACAGTGGAGCCTTCCAACAATAAAAGCCGGTTATCAATACCAAAAGCTAAGTGGAGCAGAGAAAGCGTTAGTGATAGTGGCGTCCCAGCTGTTTGACCTTGCAAGTTTGGCGAGACCAACTGATTGAGGTCGGTGGAGAACTGCTGTGTTGAGATTCGATATCACGAAACATGTCATGGCTCAACTTGTTCAGACATGTTGCCGGGGCCGTCACTTACCGAGAGCACGAACCTCGACCAAACGGCTACTGTAGCCTCTCAAGCAATACCGTTGTGTGTCATGTTTTAACTCTGGGGTTTGAAACACCGGAGCTGTCGATGGCGTTTCGAGCATGGACACTAGGTTGGGGTTCATGGAGACCAGGGGGATGTACGAACAAATTTCCGCATTTGGCCTTGCGTGCGTTATGAGACCGAATCTGGCCGTTTACTACGAGCGCAGCATTGGAGAGCGCGCTAAACATTCGATAGTTTGGTGGGCTGGATCATGATTACAGATATAGCGCCACTCACCAGTGGTGGGTTTCACCATGATTGTGACCTGGAAAGTCTCTTTCTGTGATTGCGTATCTTTAGTAAACTTTGTGCAGACAACAGGATAACGGTGAAAGATTTCATCATGGATGATATGAGAAGATCGCAATGTGATTAGACTATGTCGTAAACAATCTTGGAGGCCAAAGCCTATCGAGAAACGCAGTTGCAGTTCCCAAATGCTGCAGTCTTAGCGCAATGAATCCCCAAACTCCATTTTCCCAAAACGCTGATGTATGCTCCGTTTTGGGTCCCAGGGTATTCGACTGAAGGAAAAGTACGAGGTCGCTCGTGCGACCAGTGGATATTATGGCATCCGAAGATGCCCGCAAAACGTCAAGACTAAGCCAGCCAATCAAAGAATGAAAGTACCCAAAGGACTGCGGCCCCACCAGAACGCCGATGGCGGAAAGGGTAGCAGTTAATGTGCATGATCAATCTCGTCATCACGACGTCCGAATGGAACATTCCGGTGGGCTTGTGAAGGTAGCACTTTTGGACGATCCCCGTTACACTGAGGGACACTATGTTTCGGGACCATTGGCCTCGCGTTCCCGTTGTTCCTTTTGTGGAGCACGACGACGAGCGTTGATAAACCAGTTGGATACCTATTGTGGGTCAGCATGCTGTGGTCTAAGAGTGACACTGAAGGACAGGAGTGGCAGATGTAGTGAGGGTGTCAAAATGACCGTTCTTGCTAAGACGCATCACGTACCTGGTTGAGACTCAGCCCAGTTCTGTTGCAGAGTTCCATCTTCTGGTCTTCTGTGGGATATGGTGATGTTCGGTTGGCGGCAAACCAGTCTTTCAGGAGGTTCGTGGCCTCTTTCGGCAGGTTGCCTCGGCGCTTCCTGTTGAATGCGTTGTGATCAAGGCCAACATGCTGTTGGAAGCGAATGTCGCTGTAAGATGTGTCATAGCCTTGATATCCGGCCCGAGTGAAGTAAGAATCGTTAGGTCGGTCGTATCCGCCATAGACAGCTGCTGGAGACTCATGGTAGTAGCTATGACGTGGCTCGTACATGGAGCCTTGCTGAACCATGGATTGCTGGAAAGGACTTTGTCCGATAGGTTGCGCGTAGGAAATGTGGCCTTGGGGAGCTGAGGGTGACTGGTGTCGCATGTGTGGGTTCGAAGGCATCGACTGCTGTTGTGGTGGCACATACGAGTGACTTTGGCGGTGATGCATGCCGGATCCTACAGGCTGCACTGGATGCTGCTGAAGGATGTGGGGCGAGTAGCCAGCAAGGGCTGGATCAATAGCACTGCTCGTGCGACGGACCTGCACTACAGGTGGCTCGTAGATGTCGCCGAGTGTATCGACGCGTCTTCGCTTGCTCTCAGACCAAGCTACATCGTCAAACTGGGGTTGCACATGGGGAGAGCTTTCAACCGAGTCATTCCGACGCTGGGGAGTCCGTGGTGGTGTGGTAGTCCGTGTAGTGTGGAGGAACTGGAAAAGTCAATCAAGCGATACAGAGACAATAAGCTGCAAGCCAACATACCTCGGAGAAGGAAGGGAGTTTGCCAGGAAAGTTTTGCTCGCCTGGTTGAATAGGTGGAGAGCTGCGCATGTGGTGGTTCTGTGATTCTGTCAGAGTTGTGCTCGAGGTTACAGAAGGTCGTAATTCGTCGCGGTTGTCGACTGCATCGGCTGGAGTGATCATGCGCAAGCCGAAGTCAGGTAGCATCGCCGGACCTCGGGAAAGCGATCGGGGACGAGTGGGTAAAGAACATGAGCGTGGGGGATTTGGTGAACGGGGGTGATCGACGAATCCGCCCGCTGATATGAACGGGGGGTGGGTAGGGGGGTGATGGGAAGATGCATAAGCCGAGGGCTCGGACGCTCTTGCCCTCAAGGGTACGTTCTGTGCATCTCTGCGGAAGGGATCACAGAGTGCAGGCTCGAGGAAACTTGGAGGGGAAGGAGCGGATGTTACAAAAGAGGAAGGAGATTCTTGTTCTTGACTTACCGCAGCGACCATGTTAGCCAGCGGCCGTTCGGCAGAATGCGAGGAGTTCATCTTGCGCGAGTGCAGCGGTTCACAGTGGCGGTGCGGAATATCTTGGAGAGTAAGATATTCCATGTGTTCAACGGCAACACTGCTTAAATACTCTGCAGAAGGGACGCGTTAGCGAATAATCACTCTAGTATCAGCGTCGCCATGGTGAGTGGATGGGCTGCTTCGCTCGCCCATAGTTACTGACAGCTTGGTACCAGTCTTTGGCTGGCACCGTCGAATGCCATCGACACGAGCGGGGTCCCATAGGATGTTGGCTCAGTTGTGTGGTATTACTCACCCAGGTATTATGGTAGTGATGTCAAAATTAACTCGAAAAGGCAACCCAAGGGTCCGATGCAGGACCACTGAACCAAGAATTATATATCGCAGATATATGAGTGGTGAGGCGATGGGGGGTATTAGTTTTGGGGAGGGAGTCGGGGACAAGTGGTGACGATTGAGCCGGCGCAAGCACTCAGCGATTCGCAAGAAGGTAGTTGGGGTCGTGATGACGGGTCCGAGGTGTTTAAGAAGCAGAAGCACCGTGAGCGAAGGAGGCGTTTCTAGACTAGGAGGGACTGCAACGGGCCGTACATCAAGCATGCCCTGCGATCTTGCAGCAGTAGAAAGCGCGTCAGGGGTGATGCTGGTAGGGTCCAATGAAGGACAGACAGGCGTGTTTAGCACCACGTCTGTGTTAACTTGACAGGTGAGAGTTAAAGTTTGGTCTATATTCTCCGAGCGTGACTATGCAGGCTCTGGCCGGACGTAGGCCGAGCGTAGGAAACAAGAGACGCTCAAGCTACGCCGCAGGTTTCGAGGCACAAGCCGGTGCTGGAGTCGCGCCATCTGCTGCAGACGCCATCGAGCGTCGCCGGTGTCCCCACTACTCGCATCGTCGCAGATCTCGCTGTTTCTGACTCGGCGCAGGTAGGCGCAGGGGTGCCGAATGCCTTTCGCCCATTTTGTCGCACCCTGCCTGTCGATTACCTCATCTGCGCTCCCACACACTGGATGCCGCAGCAACCTCACAACGTTCCATTACGGCGGCGGCAGCAGGCGACGCTCACGCATTGGCCGACGTACAAGTCATGGTCTGGCGCCTCGCTGATTGCCCGCAACCACAAGTAGTAGTTCATCGACATCAGCCTCGCTATAGGTTGCTACCACTTTCCCCAGTATCAAGCCTTGCGCCCACGAGCAAAATAGGATGGTGGTAATTGCTTCGAGGCTAGCACCTTGCGCAGTCTACTAACTCTACTAACTCTACTAACTCTACTTGCTGCTGGCCCTGACTTGAACTCTACCGGGAGCCGATGGCACGGTACCCTTATGTTTGTTTTTGCCGGAGATATCTGAATCGACAGAACCAGCACAGCATCCATGAGCGTCGCTGCGAGGTAAGTGGGGCAGGTGCAGCAGCATTGAGGTCATGAACGCGGGTTGCACGTCTGTCGAGAGCGGAGTGTAATCCGACGTTAAGAGGTCTGTCGTGCACACCAGAGCCACGCTGACGGCGTGTATGTCATCCAGCACAAGGTACGATACCCGGCAGACAGCTGCCGCAGGACAGAACCAGGCTGGTGGCTGGCTTGGGTGGGCACTTGTGCCACGGAGTTTTTCCAGCATCCAGGGGCGGGAGGCCTTGGTGTCGTGACGGGGCACAGAAGCAGCTAGTGCTGCAGCGATGAGCTTTAGGAAGGGAGAGGGAGGCGTTCGTCTGGTGGGACAAGAATAGCAGCTAGAGCGACGACGTAGGAGAGCGGGAGATGATGCACGGCGTTCAATGCTCGGCCAGGTGCCAGGCACGACTAATTGGGGAGCCGTAGTCTGCAGACCCTGAATCAGTTGGCGAGTAGCGCATCGACAGTGCTAACGAAACATTTGATGCGTGCTGGCAAGGCAATATGCTTCTAGAGCCGTCAGTGACCATCGGCTTCAGACGAAAAGGCAGATCGAGATGACAGTCCCTGGCAATGGCAGTAGGCTGTCACGGTGGAGAGCCCCTTGGAGCGCGGGCGGATGACAGATGTCAGGCTCATGCAGACGACTGATGGTGGCATCTACGGAAGAGGTGCGACCTGGCCTGCGCCGCCATGATTGGCACAGGGATAGCTGGCACCTTCCCGCTCTCGGGGTCGCGCCTGCCCGATTTGCTGATCGCTTCCCGCTAGCCGGTGATCAGACCTCGCCCTCGCTCGACTTTCAACACCCGCCGTCTCGCGTGCCGGAACGCTGCCGTCGAAACTGAGACCTTCTCCACGCTGCCATTGTTTGGCCCTCATTGTCCTGCAACTGGACGCGACACTATGGCAAACTCTGCGCCGCCCTAACCTGCGTCTATCGAAATCTACGAAACCTTGTCGCGCGCCGCTATGGCAACCATTGCCCGTCGTGTTTCGCGCTTCCAAATTGACCTCGACGCCATCAAGTCTTTAATTTCGACTTTTGTGCCTCGACATCTCCTCCGGTACGCGCATGCCGAAAGACGGCCAAATTGCAGCGTTGCTCTTATGCTTCGGCGCCACACCGAGAAAGCACCATCCGTGTAAGCTGTTTGCATAGATGCGTCGTTTGTCTTGACCGCTAGTCGGCTCGTGTCCCCGCTCCCACCACCTTGGCTGCTGTCCAAAATCATCATCCCGGTTGAGCTCAAGGGTGAACCTCTGGCTCGGGTTTGCAGTCGTTATCGACCCCCTAGAATGGCAACCACGAGCCCAGCATTTGTTCCAGGAACACTCACACAAGCCCCGCTACCACAGCGGGCGTCCATCGCCGTAGCCCATGGCTACACAGCAGCAGTTGACCGCCTGACAGTCCGTCAACTCTGCTCCAGACGGCCGCCCTTCGTTGTCGTGTCGCCCACCGATTGTGTCATGATCCAAGGGGCTGTCAAACTGCTGCAGTGTACCACCACTCCAACACTAACAGCTAGTACAGGACGCCTTTCGATCCGAGTCAACAGTCTCTTCAAACATGCCCTACATTGACTTCCATGTCTGCATTTTATGTGGAGATGGCGCCGCAATTCCTTGCCGGCGATCATTCGTACCCAGGGAGCCCTTGCGTTGCAATGCACGGCTTGGTGTCCTTGAAATGCAGTTGAGTTCGATGGCGTCGTTGTACGAGACGGAAGCCACGAGCGCCATTCGCTGCAAGAACAGACCTCCAACCCGGTTTCCAAATACCAAACGTACACTGAACCTCGATCTTTGCATCTTTCGCGCCACAATTCACGATCAGAGCAGGCTATAATATAACATCGTTCTAGTGGTTGTCTGGAGCTTCATGTATGAGGTTATGGCTGACACTTCTGGGTTCTGGAAGCCATAAGACCTACTCCATATTTGGAGAGATGTGTCTCAATCCCTAAAGAAGATGCCTCGTTCGACATCATGTGCTCGTTATCTTGTTGGTCTACTACACCGCCTGTCTCGATGCGTACCGCACGATTGGCGGTTGACATGTATCTGGGCTGATCTGGTTCGAACGACCCCGACGGAAGAAAGAGATTAGAGCACAGTAACATAACGATAACTAACAAGCGGGCGGGTAGTGTTCGTGACACATGCACAGGGCTCGCCCCCCATCATGGAGCTGGTCTTGTGTCCAGAACTACGGATGCTCCATTGCCATACCAGCAAATACTGTACATGAAGGCCATGTATCAACCGCCCGTATGGTTATGCAAAAGACCTGATTCAGAAAGAGGGGTCTGCATGTACAATTGCACAACACATGGTGGCGTACAGGCGTCCCATGCCCCACTATTTCTTCCGGTATACTAGTTTTCTGCCCAGCAGACTGATCGTTCACCTTGAACAAACACTGCATGTTCATTTACCCGGTATCTGGGATTCTCCCATCAGAGCTGCATAGGTGCAGTGGCATGGGAAGCCGCCTTCAAGCAAACGTTATGGCATGTCCATTGATTACAGTCGTTGGCCAATATTTTACGTCTCATACATAGCTGCACCTGCTTAAGGACTAGAAACTAGAAGGACATCCGACCCAAGAATCACTCTATTGGCTCTGCTAGAACAGGCGCTGATTCTTTTCCAGGAAGCGAGCATGCTTCCCGTAAATCATTAAGGGTTCGAAGGTTTTACTATCACACCTCCCGCATTTCTGCAGCCATGCCCTATGGTCAGATCGACGCTAACTGTACGAGAGAACGATTCAGAGAGCAAGCGCTCTAGAGTGAGCTGAAAGTCATGCGGAAGCTAGAAGCCTTAAGGTTGCTGATCGTCGATTTGAGAAGTCTTATAGATGCAATCTAAGATGGTGTACTCAAGCCGTCATGGCACATAGCTACTATGCTACCAGAAGACAAGCGCGCGATTCCGCCAGCCTGCATCTCTTGGAGCATTGACCTATGGCAAACTGCTGTGACTTCCATCATCACAATATACTTTCCACGCCTCAGCGAATCGGTATTGCTCCGCCAGTTCGGAGGGAGCATAGCGCTCATTCGCTCGTGGCCTACAGGTGTGGTGCTAACCGGGGATGGCTACGGCTAGGGCGCGTCATTGAGATCCCATATGCGCGACCCACTAGTATCAGATACTATCGGAAACCCACAGACCTGGACGAGAGATCTGGTAGATCGAGCCCTATAATCTCGCTCCAACGTGCACTAGGTATACCACCAGAGCCAATATCAGTATCTACATGCGACTGACGACTCATCGTCAACCAAACCACACACTCTGCACTAAGAATTTTGCGTGTGAGCAAATACAGAAGTGTTTTCATGCAAACGAAGGCCTAAATTTTTGTTGGGCAGGATGTCACACCGGCTTGCGTCCGCACTCCATCTGTAACCACTAAATCTCTTACCCACTCGCTGTGAATTTGTCACTTCACGCATATTGAGTCGCCAGTGTCGTAGAGCATTTGAAAAACTTTCGATTGCACGTTGACGTCTGAGCGCGATGTCATTTTCAGTTTGTCATTTCTCGGCAGCTGACACCTGCTAGTTGACATTGGTTCCTGCATATGACTAAGCAGCAGGAGCCGAAGATCGTCCGCTCAGCCACCATCGACCCTTTCCTGCCATTTATGATCCGCACTCCAGCCGCAGCCAATATTCGAAATTACAGGGGTCTGTGATCAGTCGCTACGACTTGCCTCAGCTGCAAAGCTAGCGCAGAATTCTTTCACGGTCTTTGGCATGCGACGCAGGACTGATCGAAGACTTCATCACGAGAATGACATATTACGGACATCCGTCCAGATGGGTCTTCTACTTCCCGCCTGCTAATGCTGCCAAGCGAAATGGACTCGGAGAACATCGCTCGAGGGCATCTCCACGGATGTGCATACGAAAGAGAAACCGGAACTGCTAAGATCTCTTGGCGCGGGAACAAGAACATAACGCCGATCTAGTCGTCGGTTACCCTCAGCCGCAGCCAGTTTTGTTGATCACGATCGTCTGCCTCCACAAAGAGCGACCCACAGAAGTCGTTGTTGACAACTCGGCAGGCTCAGCCACACAGTCGCTAATACAACTGCGGCATCTGTTGCGCGGTACCTTGACGGCTTGACCAAGGATCAAGGACCGGGCGAGATTTCGCTGCAGGCATTGGCAGACTGGTTTCGCGAGAGAAGCCAACCAGAGTGACAAGTCAAACGAGCCAACAATAATAGTCAGCTGCGCGCGACCATCGTGACAGCACACCTGCATCTGTCGTCTGTCTCCACTGTCACCGTCCGGTGAACAGCACGCTTGCAATCATTCAAGTGCAAGCTCCAGGGGCATGTCATGTCACTAATATCCCTTACACTCCAGGCCTGGCCAGCCTCAAGGCCCCGGCTCGGCAGGGATGATCGGTACCGCCCCGTCTCGTAGCCAGATTACATGCAGTGGCTTGAACGCTTGCACGTGGCTGGTTCGGAAGACCTTCACGGGCTCGGAATGATGGGATGGCGGGAGATGGTGTACTGTACTTAGCACAGGGTTCCGACCGACTCCGTTTCGGGGCATTTTCACATCATGGTACGTCAGATGTGTCGAAACAAATCACTAGGTGCTCTAACGCCAACCTTAATGGTAGCCAGGCCCTACCTCTTTTGGTCACAAGGTAGCTTCCCAGCTACCCTCAAACATCTCGAACAACGACAATCGCTGCAGAGGACTGAAGTTATCGTCGGTTCTTAATTACAGTACACAGTTGACAACGCACCCTGGTCATCCAGGATTGAAAATAAAGTCAATCAACAGTGACGAGCATACACACTATCTAGAACCATATGACGTCAAACCTTGGATACGAGAACGAAACCATGACCTTCATCTAGAGGAAGATCCCATCCAGCGCAACGTCCCCCGCTGTCACTGTCAACGGGTCCCGGAGTTGTCGCCTACCGTGATTCGATCGGTATCAGTAATCCCATCGTGCGCCTCTCGCATGCCGGAGAAAACGCGTAAAACACCGGGCTGTGCAAAAGGCGCTCGACGCTCCGGCGCACGTCATTCGTGCCCCTCACCCACCGGATCCCACCAACCCACATTGCCACTATTCGGCCAACAGCGTTACTTACAGCCTGCCAGAGCGGAGTTGCGCGACATACGACAAGGTTCCGAGATGCGACTTCTTTTGCTGTTCTTTTCTTTTCCCGTACCGTTTGCAGTGCAGATCAAAGTCTGTAACTTCATTCTTCTGGGTTAGGTAAACTCTGCCAAGTTCTGCGGAGACATCTCCGTGTCACCCTTATAAGGAAACGACTACTCTTTCTGCTTTGGTATACGGATGCAAGTGGTATATATGCGTCTTGGCGAGTATGGCCGGGGGAGGGTGTGTTGGTCTGACTGTCAAGTCGAGACGCCCCTTATTTCCTTCCTTTTTCCAACGTTATGTGACAATCTCTGGGGAGGCTTCTCCGGGGTTGTGGGAATGGAGGACGTTGGCTCGATCTAGATCATATAGACCTTGGTTGTCACTAGTTTTGGTGATGAGAAGAATGTTTGTGGAATAAGGCTCAACCTTATAGGCGGGTACCGCGTCCGCGTACCTGCCACCAGGACGACGGCGTGGTGAAAGATGTAGCTTAGCGCACTGCATGTGATATAGAGATGCTATATCGATTCCTTGGTGATTAACCCGCTAGAAGGGGATGGCACTCAGTGACTACGGGCCTTCTTTCGTGGCTGAGGCTCGATGTCCCATTTTGGACATCTCTTTCAGTAGCGTCATGTTGCTTTTCGTTAGCTACCATGAGGATCACGATTGCTGCATCACTTACGCGAGCATTTGGCCATATGAGTTGTGCCAAAGTTTCGATCTCGCACTCGTCACCGCAAAGGCAATCGTATGAATTGCCCTAGCCACGAGCTTTGGCTCGATTGGTAGGATGTATGAACTCCCTCGATAGGCATCTGCTTTAAGCGAAATATGATCATGCTTCCAGTGTAGCATGAAGGGGCTTGTGTGAAGACACGAAGCCCTGGATCACCGCGTGGTTGTGGATGTATGTGCGAAATGCTATGGAAATGTGTGTGAAGGGATGTCGTACAGGAACTCAGTGGTGTCAATGACTGCTACCTCACTGCGTTTAGTATTCAATGGTAGTTCCTCGACACTCTCTTCAACCTCTTTCTCGTGGATCTCTTTTCATACTATACACTCTTCAACACTACGTAGCCAATAACACTCTCCGGTTCAGCATCCGCAATCTGCATCTTTATATTTCTTGAGTAGCAGGTCCGCTTCGAGCTATCTGGAGTACTACCACCCCCATGACCTTTGACGTAAGTGCTTTCGCGGGTTGATGCGAAGACGTATGTGAAGCACTCCGACGCTCATGTCGTCAATGATATGACTATTCTCATAACACCCATCAAGAGCCGCATCTCTAGATTAAAGAGCAGTGTGTTGAGCCAGAGTGTATTCTGTTAATAGACCGAAAATTTGCCGGAGAAAGTTGCGCCTACTGTGTTTCTCCAAAATCAATAATCGGAACTAAATTACTAATCGAGAGTGCCATGAACACTTCATTATATAACCTGAACTGGCCAAAATCCGGCTTGCTACCAAAATTCCAATCAACGGCTGAGTGGTCTTGGATCAGATTGTCTTGGCTGTCTTTTTCCCTTTCGACTGGTTTCTACAACTCAGAATGAAATGATTCAGGTGTTATTCTCACGGAGTCCGTGAAAATCCTCAAACGTTCATTATTGCTTATAAGGCAGTGAAAATTTGATCGGATACCAGACCCAGAGTATTGACACCAATCGAGAACATCTCAAATGTTTGTACCTCTTCATGTTATTGACGGATGTCTGGACGGATGTCTGGACGAATGTCCATCTCGAGATCTCGACCGATGGATGAAACCGAAACAGAATTAAGAGACAGTCTCCGTTCTGAAGGAGGAATGAAACATTGTCCAGTCACTGCGGAAATCATGGCTGGTCTGTCATAGCCATTCTTCCAAGGCTTTTCGATTTCGACTATGTATTACGACAATCCTGATTGAGCCCTTTCCGCAACAAAATGGCCAAGCGATGCTTCATCGTAGTAGAACCTTTTCCTTGAGAATTCCTAGCTAGCAACCACTCTTCTCACTGATCCCAAAGAATGCTTCGACATTATTCCAAAGTGTCAATGACTGCGTCTATTCATGGCGTAGTCTGGCTGAAAACTCACTACGCACGCCAATTTGTGTGATGGGAGATAGGCCCGGAAAGAAACGACAGCGGTATGTATGGCGTGATATATGACTGGGTATATTGGCCGATATCGGTAGGGGTTAGGTCCAAATTACAGCAATCATCGGCTTTCCAGGATTTGCAATCCATCGACTGATGCCCAAATATCCGCGTTGTAGAGAGTAAATTGTTGATAATGGCTTGAAGAGGTCGTTAGCGAAGTTGTGTATCAATGACTCTCTGAATAAACAGGCTCAAGAATTCTGTTCACTTTGCTTAGTTGCACTCATCTCCTACGATCCAAAAGTCACGTTCGGCAGCAAAGGCTAAATTCGATTTCTTTACATTTCTTCAACTCGACGTGACGAGGGGTATTTTCCAGTCTAAGCGTCAGTTCCCTTGTACATATCGCCAACACTGGTCTCCGTCTTTACAGCGTCTTCATGGTAATGCGCACCCGCGCTCGTGACAGTCGTGTCCAACTCTTCCAGGCGCCTCAGATCCATGGGTGCGGCCAACAAAGGAATCACGTACGGGTCGAAAGTCTTCCAGTATGGGTTGTTCAGGTGGTATTGTTGAGACTGCAAAGACTATTAGTAAGTTCCACTGTCCTTTGCCATTTCTTCAATAGCATATCTGAGGTCTAGTGATTCCCAGAATCAAAGTGCACGCGAAACCCCTCTCTTGCAGTCTCGTAGCGGCACCAGTCATCAGTCGCAACCAGTCTCCAATGAGCTCAAAACTAAGGAGATGATATAACTCACAGATTCCTTCAGATACCGCTCAACGATAGTGAACTTCCTCTTATCGACAGTGTCCTGCATAACAAACCAGCTCAATGTCTCCTTGTCCTTGCTGTACACCTGGCTAGCCTCGACAAGCTTAGCGCTCAGCTTGTTAATGCTTTCTTGGTCTTCCTTGGCGAGCAGGTGAACGACGATTGTGTAAACCATTTTGATTGCTTTATTTCTGTCTCTTTTGTCTCGAGTTTTATTGGTGTGTTGACGATTGATCAAGCTTCTTCGGCTCGTTTAGCAGAGGAAGTTCGCGTATGTATAGTAAAGCGTGGGATAGTATGATGGGGATGAGGGAAGAGAAAGAGAAGAACTGATGCCTCTCAATCCACATCAAAAAATTCTTGGCTTGGATTTTTCTGCTCGGGCTGTTTTTGCGGCCTGGTGACGTATCCTCGCGGCGGAACCCCGCAGCTGAAAGTGGAGTCGGCGATCCGCATGCTCCCACGCTATAACAACACAAGGACGGAAGGAGCCCGTAGCCGTAAAAAAAGCAAGCAAAGAACATAGTGGGTGATCTCTAGTCATACGAATGTGACTATGATAACGAAGCGAAGTCATATAGGACGTGGGATGAGAAAAGCACTAGCACAAACGTACGAAGGCAAGATTTTTGAACTTGAAGATCAATTACACATCATGAGGAAAAACAGGAAGGGTGCCTCCCAACACCCGCCTGATTCCTCACCAATGCAACTAAACTAATATACTCTGGTAGCAAAAAGGGGAATATACGAAAAACGCAGTCGCACCGTAGCAACGCTAAAGTTACACCACACACATATCGCCATCCCAATTCCTTCCCAGAAAAGTTTGAAACACCCCCAAATGCCATGCCATGCCGTAAGCGAATGAAAACACGCAAACATTGATACGTTTACTAAGCCCTGCTCAACATCTTGATCACCTCCTCCTTCTCGCTGGTAGGCAGTGTGCTGAGCAAGCTCATGACACCCTTGAGTCCACCCTCGCGGTCCTTGCGCATAAGCTGCGCAATCTCGAGCGCAATGCCATCGGTCTTGAGTTGCTCGATCTTGTCGCTGACGAGTGGCCTGTTCTCCTCGTACCAGGTCGCCGCGGCCATGTCGTCTTGCTCCCAGTTGGGGATGTTGGACAAGTGCTTCAACATCTCGAAGCCACGGCTGCGGGTGAGTGAGTTGGCCTGAGGGTTGTCGTGCGTGGGCGAGGCAGCAGCGGCGAACTTCTTGAGGATGTACTCCTCGTTGAGACGGCGGCGAAGACGCCAGTAGAAGAACCGGCGGGCGTTTTGCCATCGGAGAGCTTGTCGAATGACACCCTTGGCTTGCATACGGCCAGCACGGTCGTGCAGATCAGCGAATTGAATGGCGATTTGACCATAGATAGGTAGAAGCTTCTTCTCGCGCTCAGTCATCTGGGCTTTGATGTCCTGGAGCTCGGCCTCTGGTGTTGCCTTGTCATTCAGCTTGCGCTTAAGAGCACCGTAGGTAGGGTCGTTGCGGGCCATTGTGTCCAGTTGGCGTTCCCTGCGGTACTTGATACCGACGATACCTTCGGGCTCCAGTACACCACCACGCGAGTCCTCGTCGGCGTACATCTCCATGAATTGAGGGTTGATGGTGGGGTCAACGACGACCCAAGATCCACCACGGAGTTCGCCGTACGGAGGAATGTAAACGAAGATGGGCTGTTCAAACTTGACGAGTGCGTCGACAATGTAAGAACCGTACTTGAGAACCTCGTTGTACATGTCACGCTGACCACCAGAGAAACCACGCCAGTTGGCAAGGATCATCAGTGGCAATTGCTCACCATTGTTGAAGTCCTTGATAGCCTGAGCAGTCTTGAAGGCAGAGTTGGGGTACCAAACACCACCAGCCTCGGATGTGACTTGTTCGATAGAGTCGGGGTTGGCGGGGTCTGCAGGTGTGACGTTCTCAACTGAACGTGTCTCGACACCGATGACACCGATAGGAATGCCACCGAGACGAGCACGACCGACAACAACAGTCTTAGCCCAGCCACCAAGAGTCTCGACAAACGAACCGCGATCAAAGAGACCAGACTGGAAACCGTCCTCGTCCTCTTTTCCAGCGATCAAATGCCTAATATCGTAGGCAGACTTGCCAGGAGGGTAGTAGGTGATGTCACGATCCCAGTTGTCGGCTGACGGTGAGATAGGGACGGGGCTGCCCTTCTTGTCGGGTACGTAAGACATCCACTGGACAATCTTGGAAACACCCTCAAAGTCATCGTCGGCAGTCGAGTGCGAGACACCGTTCCTGTACATGATCTGAGTACCACCGAGCTGAAGGTTAGAAGTGTAGACTTCACGACCAAGTAGCTTGTTGATAGCCTGTGCACCCGTGAGGATGATTGGCTGTCCTTCGATCTGGATAGCACGCTGACCAAGACGAACAAGGTAAGCACCGATACCTATATGGTTTTAGTATTTGCACAAGTGAGATGGAGTAAGGGTACATACCAACTGAGCGACAAGTCACCAAAGTAATGGTGAAGATGTCCTCGTAAGCTCTTGAAGTCTCACCAGCAATGAGACCAGAACCACGAAGCGACTCAACACCAAGACCGTCCTCAGCACCAATGACAGTAGTGATCTTGAAGCGCTTCTCGCCATCGACCTCAACCGGTTCGCAGATAACGTCATTGCGCTTACCATCAACAAAGTGCTCGTACTTCTCAGGTGTCAGGTAGAGGTAGTCGAAACCAGCCTCGGGCTTGTTGATGTCCTTCCATGCAACAGAGAAGTGAGGAATGAGCTCCTCAGCAAGACCGATACGAGCACCAGAGTTGGCAGAGAGGTAGATTCGCGGAATGCCGAGCTTTCGTGCAAGCTCAGAGCACTTGTGGAAGAAAGCATCCTCCGCTGGACCGAATGAACCAATCTTGAAAGTGATGTCGTTGGCGATGATGATGAAGCGGCGACCACGGGGGTACTCAGGTGTCTTCGCGGTGACCATCCAACCGACCATACCAATGTTGTTGTGGCCAGGATCACGGTTGACCTCAGCCAGGTTGTCAGTGTCATCAAGCACCAACTCGTAGTACTCGAGGCACTCTCCCTTCGCTGGCTGCCTGTCACGGAGGAATGAGTGCTTCTTGATAGCCTCGATCCAGCTGTTCTCGGTAGCCTGGCGGAAGAGCTCAGGGAAGTCGTACACGTACTGAGTACCCATGAGATGAGCCTTGTACCTCTTGGGCTGCAGAGCTCCCTTGGTGGGGTAAGGAGTTGAGACGGGCTGAAGGTGAAGAGCACCGATCTTAGTAGTTCCACCAATGCTGTGGAAGAGCCACTTGCCAGCCTTCTCGGACTTGCGCTCAGCGTACATCTCCACCTGGATAACGTATCCAGAAGTGTTAGTGATGATGACACGGAGAGGGTAAGGGATGCCAGTCGCAGGGTCGGTGACAATGATGCGGATCTCAGCGCCAGTGACACGGAGACGCCAGAGTCGTCGACCAAAGCGCTCCAAGAAACCGCCAATGGCCTCTTCAACCTCAGTAGGGTTCAGAGGGAAGACGTGCGAGAAGTTGATGAAGATGTGGTTCATGTCGGCTTGCGAAGTGCCAACGATTTCCAAAGCATCCAAGATGTCAGTCATCAACCTATCAGTCTCAGACACCATGTACTCCGCTGTAGGAATCTCCTCGCGAAGACGGCCTGATCGGACGACAGCCCTCAAGAAGTAGCGCTTGTCGCTCTCGGCGCCCTTGCCAACAGCCTCATAGATATGGATGTTGCGGTTCTCAGTGAAGACTGGCTTGATGTCAAACTTGGAGAGTCTGCCAAGTTCGAGCTGGAAGGCAAGAGCGGGCTCGACGTGACGGATACTGGCATCTTCCTCATATGTGGGTCCACGGAAGGTGTAGTAGCCAGGGTATGTTCCGTCCTTGTGGCCGCAAATGAAAGAGATTCGGCGGATGCGACGAGACAGAAGCTCCTGCTTGAAGTCATCGACGATAGGCAAGATGCGGTCCAAGATTTCCTTGTCGTCGGTGCCTTCAATGTCGCGGACAGCGATGTTAAGAACACCAGTGAGCTCGTCGCTATGCTTGGGCTCGTTGATACCTGTGGTAGGGGTGCGCTTCATAGTGAGGCCCTCCCTCAGACCAATACCGCCCTTCTTCTCCTTGCCAAGGTTGGGGAAGATGTCGAGCGCCTTACTGATGAGCTCGTCCGCGTCATCAAGGTACTCGACAGGGACGACAACACCCTTCCTGGTAGGCTCGCCTTCGAATCGGTTTTGCCAAGCAGTCATATCGCTCAATGACTGGATGCGAGGAGGACGCTCAAACCCGGGCGTGCTGGGGGTACCAGGTTCAGAGGGCTCAACAGCGAGACCGTACTCGGCCTCACCAACCTTGCGCAGGATGAAGTCCCAAGACAAGAAAGATTGCTGCTCGCCTTCGTTGTGGTAGTTGATGTTTTGCAGCTGGTACGCGCGGTAAGCTCGGCGAGTGTACACCTCAAGCGCAGCAAGAGCGACGTATGGGTCCGAGTGGACGAAAAATTGTGTCAACACGTCGAACACAGTGTACCTAGAGTCGACAACTTCCTTGATTACTTCGAAGTTGGGCTCACGGTGGTCCCATCCGCTCTCGCCATAGCGAGACTCAACGACGGAAGAGCGCAGGATGTGTTCCATCTGCGCAGTGCGTTCTTCAAGCGAAGGCATAGCGCACTGAATGAGAACCTCACGGGCCTTGAGAGAGACCTTGGCAGTCTGTCTGGACTCAAGCTCTGTGAGCTTCTTGAGAGTGTCCTTGAAGTACTTGGCAATGTTTCCGACACCAGGCTTGTTGGGTCGGTAGAGCTCGAGAATAGCAATTACGAGGTTGTTCTTCGCACCAACCTTGGCGTGGGAGAGAACAGTCTGCACGACGCTCATGATGTTATCACGGTTCTCATCACGAAGTTTGAGGATGACTTCCTCGTCACGCGACGTACGAGATGAGAAGAGGGACTCAACAGACCAGTACATCTCCAAGAGCCTGATCATGACGCTGTACTCGTGTGCCTTGAGGCCCTCCGAGTAGCGGGTGATAACATCAGCAAGAGGCTCCAATGCAGCCTTCAGAAGGGCAACGTCACCCTTGGCCACGTTCTCCTCGACGAACTTTTGGAAAGCCTTGTTGAGGGCCTTACCAGGGAACTCGAG